AAGCGCAGAGCTTCGGGAGTCCTCAGGGCGCGTCTACAGCTATACATACATATCAATCTCTATATTTCTTCCTTGGTTCCATATTTGTGCTTCAAAGTGTAATTTCTTCACACTTTTGCACACAAACACCTAGTGAAACACCACACTCTTGTTGTTGAGGCACTTCGAAGCTGGTTTTAAAGTTTTTGGGTTGGTTTTAGTCCAAAAAGGTTGCTGGAGTTGCTGCTTTGAAGTTGTTCTTCAAGGGTGAGTTTCTAACCCCTTAAACCTTTGTTTTTTATTAAGCTTTTGGCCCTATTTTCATGGTGTTTTAGGCTTAACTTTACACTGCAAAAAGTTTTGATTTTAAGTGCTTGAAATATTTGTTTAAGGTCTCTTTGGTGTTGGGGGTGGTCTACCCCTCCTTTTGTGCCTTCTTTTGCCTTGTTTTGGGCCATCACTTTAGGCCTTTGTGATCACCTTTGCATGACCTTTCTACCACTAAATTCTAGAGGAATTTCAGTGGTGGAAAATGTGTTTTGAGGTCTTAAATAGGAGGGGGTTGTCCCCCCCTCCTCTTCTCTTCTTTGTTTGTGTTGATGGTCATCAAAGAAGCATGTAGCTCTATCTTCTTGGAGCTTTGTTTGAGCACTTTTTTGTGACCTTTTAGACCTACCATGACTCTGTTTTTGGTTGTCTTGGTCCCCCCTTGCATGCTTCTTATGGGTGTGGTGTAATCTTACTTGAAGCTTTTCAAAGTAGCATGCCTTTCTAGCATGTTTTGGTTCTATCTCATCATGTTTTTGGTGTCATTTTGCCATGGTATAACTTTGTTTTGGGTTGGTTTGATAGCCTCTTGCATGCTCCTTGCACTTGCAGTGAATTTCCATTCACTAGCCTAACATGCACCATGCTTTTGGCCATCATTCTAGCAAGTTTTTTGGCTCTACTTCAGCAAGCTTTTGGCCATGTTTTAGCATGCTCTAGGTCTGATTTAAGTGTTTTAGGTCATGCATGCCTTACTTTGTATAGCCATAGTACATTCTTGCTCACTAGCTTTGAGTTTCCAAGCCACTAGCATGTATTCCTTAGGCTATTTGCATGTGTTAGTATCATTTGGTATGTGATATCAGTGTGTGTAGTGTGGTCATGCCCTCACATTTTTCATTCTTTCAATGTTTTGGAGGGTTGGTGCTTTATGCCTTAAATATGGACCAATATGTATGCCATCTTGCCTAGGCTTTTGACCCACCATTTCAGTATGTATTTGGTCTTATTTTCCCATGATACAACTCTGATTTTTGTTGGTGAAGTCATCTCATGCTTGGTTTTGGTAGGTGTAGTTTAATCCTCCTTATTGGCCTTGCGTACTCCATGCTTCATGCCCTTCATGCTATCTTGTTTTGGCTATGCTCCGTGCATGTTTTAGCCTTGTTTTGACATGCTCTGGGACTATTTTGGGTTGTCTTGGCCATATGATTCATGTATTGTATAGCTATAGTGCAAGTGTCTGTGCTAGTTTCAAGCTTTGAGCCTCCTAGCATGCTTCATTTGTGACATGTGCATGGTTTGGCATCATTTAACATGTTATCTCAGAGTGTATAGCATTTCCATGTTCTCACTTCTTTCACTCTCTGAGTGCCTTTAAAGGTTGTGCATTATGGCCTTGCTTGTGAGCCATTATATATGCATGCATGCCTAGACTTTTGAACACCCATCTCAGCATGTTTTGGTCATTGTCTTGACCTATTTGAGCTCTGTCTATGGCTGGTTCAATCACTTGTGCCATGTATTGCATGCCTCTTGTGTAGTACCTTCGGTAGCCTTGTGCCTTAGGCCCTCTTGCATGCTACACTTGTGTTGTTTGAGTGATTTGGCATCATTTCATACATGATTTCAGTGCATATAGTGTTGTCACACTTCCATGTTTGTCACTTTTTAATCATGTTTGAGGGTTGGGCTCTTATGCTTAGTTGATAGGCCATTGCATGAGCATCACCATCTTGTGCATGCCATTCTAGAATTCATAGAACAACATGTTGTTTGCATGTTACCATATTGCATTGTGTTTGCATGTTGTTGCATTACATTGTGCTCGCATGTTGTTGCATTGCATCATGCTTGGAATGTTGTCGCATTGCATTGTGTTTGGATAGGGTATTAATCCAAACATGAGAAACGAGGGACGTTTCATACTTGAAGTGATGAAACATGCCACATTTCTCGTTTGCCGACCCTCTTGATCATGCATGATAGAGGTTAAGGCTCGTATTTGTTACTTGTGCATTCATTGACACTGAATTGTGCAAACTCGGCTTCTCCGCCATCGTTCATTGCGATGCTCGGTTGGTGGCTTGAGAGTCCAGAACCGCACTCCCTTGAGCTTGAGAAATGATAGGGAGGGTGGTTGTGCACACATATCTTGCAAATATACTGTTGTGCCCCTTCTTGTTCTCTGTAGCAGCAAACTGGAGTGTGGCAGGATTTTATGGTCTGCAGCAAGTTTGGGTGGTCGGCAGGTGGTCTACACCACCAAAAAGTGGTCGGCAGCCTTCTTGGAGGTTCCCATGTTGGAGTAGAAGCTATTTAGAGGTTTGTACAGTGTTCTGAGGTCAATTGCAAACAGAGGCAAGTTGGGGCATAGCGATGGATTTTCGAATGAGCCAACCGAGCATGCATGCACCCCCTCACCCCGAGGACCTCTTTTTACTGCTTTACTTAGCTGTTTTGCCTAGTTAGCTAGTTTGATGGCTTTGTACTTAATTAGTTAATGCATTTAGCTATTCAATTTGTGTTGTAATAAATAATTAGTTAACTAGAATTAGTTAATTAGTTTCGTTTTGTAATAATTAGTTTAATTAGCTTAGATTAGCTAGTTAGGTTATCATTCGGACCCTCTGTCGAGAGGGCGCAGCTATTGTAATAAGTGTGCGTGTGTGATGCATGTCTTCCAACCCCCATTTCTTTCTCCCTTTTATTTACCAGCTTTCGATGGTTAGTTTTAGTGCATGTTTGAATTAGCATCCTCATGCTCGCATGTTTGCATCATTCATCTGTCTTACATGTACCGGGCTCGGCGCATCATTCAAACGGCATTGTATTTCAATACCAATTTGAATACATGTTATCTAGTTTCATGCACATGACATCTTAGAATAGCCGAGCCTATCTTAGTTGCATTTTTGCATGTGTTGCATTAGGCATTCTTAACATAGCTAGGATCATGCATTGATTACTAACTAGCTTTTGTTTTGGCTCGGAGTACTAGGTAAGTGTTTATGCTTTAGCATCCTTGCATGCGTGTAAGTGTTGCCATGTTTAGTATGCTTGCCATGAGGCTAACTACTTAACTGCTATAACTGCTTGAATGCCTATAGGTGGAGGCTTGATTGCCTGAATTGGAACAACTCGATGATTGTGAGTTTTAAGTCCACTTGAAGTGGCAAAATCATATTTTTCTAAGCCCACTTGAGGGTGACAAATCCGCGTCTTAGCTTACTTGCGAGTAGCACTTTCAAACCACTTTCAAAAACAAACATGAGTTGCTTTGTTCCAATCCGCGTGATTAAGTCTATACTTGTATGTTGTACGCATCACATAGTACGCTAGCTAATAAACTGGAATAAGAACGCATGTGTTTTCAAAAACAACATATCTTGTTAGTAGAAGCCGATCATTGATCCGGCGAGCGGGGGTGCTCATTGCATGACCTTCCCCCCTCGTACCCAAGTACCCGAGCCGAGGCAACTTTGGTGATGACGGACACCTGGCTTTCGACACGAGTCAGGGTTTCCTAAATTTTCCAAAATAAAATATTTAGGTGGCGACTCTGAAATCTGGCGAAGCAGTCCATGTTTGGCACTTCTTGATTAAAATCAGTTTCCCAAAACGATTTGCCGGATTTGGACTCTTTGGTGATTTATCAATCTTACATTGCACTTTGTGAGATTAGATTCAGAACCGTGACAGGAGTCCGAACTGTAGTAACTAAGAACCACAATTCGCGCCCTCGTGCACAGAACGGAGTTCAGGCGGTCTACAGTTTCTGGCAACTCCGTTAGGGATTTAGAGAACTTGACTCGAACTCATGATATGTTGTTTTTATCTACACTTATGTCTTCCTTTGCATTGCATTTGCATTGGTGCGCCTAGGACACCGTGTTTGCTGTATGCTATTCCTGAACGGTTTGCCAAGGCTTGCTTGGAAAAGCATGCCATAAGGCTGACCGGTTGCAGGCTTTGCCACGATGGGAACACAAACTTAAATTTTTACCGAGGCACTCTTTTTTACCATTCGACCTAGTGCATATCGAAATCCATAGTGACCATTCCAAACTAGGACAGGTTGCTTACCCGATTGTAGGTTGTTTGAAACCGTTGTGTGCGTAGTGAAACCCTTGCTCCTGACAGGATAGGACAGGGAAACCATACCCCTCCATAGGGGTGTTTTGGCTCTCACTTGTTTGCTATGTGCTTTCAGAGTGTGTCTCTACAGGAATGCATATATCAGTTTGCAAGTTTGGGTATCAGGCCTGTGGGCATCAGTATTTTGGGGGAATCAGTTTTACCTGAGGGTATCATATTTGAGGCAGTGATTTGGGGACAGTGATCAGTATTGAGAACAGTTGTTCAGCTTACAAATGCCAACTATGTGTTGTCTTTATTTTAAGTCGAAATACTGTCTATTTTTCTGGTTGTTTGTTTCCTTATTATGCTTTATTTATCTTTTTGCAAGGTAGTTTAGCATCATTGCTTCTGACCAGGCAGATATTCCCTAAGCACTCTGGACTAGAGGTCAAAGGCTTTCCCGATCTGAGGATCTAGTTGACGGATAACCAGTGTTTGTGTCTTTACCCCCGGTTACTAGACGGAGGTCAGTTAGGCGCAGTTCATCAGTACAGCGGTTACCAGATTAATGGTCCTTCTCCACCCCACCAGTGAGTAGTTGGGTTGAGGTTTCCGTTTCTACCGCAGAGAGAGATGTACCTGTTGTTCAGTTAGATTAGCACCTTATAGCCGGTATGGAGGAGATGATGCGTCAGCTCCAAGAGACTATGCAAGCCAAGCAGCGGGATGCTGCCTGCCAGGCAGAGTTTGCCACACGTCAGGCTGAGGTTGTAGCCCAGCAAACAGAGTTGATTGCCAGACTTCAACAACAACAACAACCGCAACAAGCCGGAGCATCTGCTCCGCATCCACTCCCACCCCCACCACCACCACCAAGAGTTCCAACACTCAGGGATACTGCAAACGTCCAGAAAGATACGAATGCCCCAACAAGGCAAACCCCGCAACCAGTTCTACCGCAGATTTCAATGACACCGGCCTTCTCAACAGATACACCATTTGAATCTAAGATGGACCCGACCGCTCTGAAGGTCAGTAAGCTTGAAAAGCTATTCAAGAGGGCTCAAGGTGTGAATTCCATTCTGGACATAGAGGATGGATACACCGATTCGGCGGTGACTTTGCCGGACCAGTTTTAGATGCCGCACATAGACTGTTTTAATGGTTCTGGGGATCCCATGGTACATTTACGGTTGTTCTCGGATATCCTAACGCCAATGGGCCTCTCCAGATTGCAAAAGCTTTCACTCTTCGACCGGATCGTGTCGGGTGTTGCGACTATTTGGTACGCAAAGCTGGAGGACTCTGTCAAGAAAAGCTGGGAGGAGATGGCTGAGGCCTTTGTAGCTCAATTCTCGTACAACACACATATCAAGATCACAACTCGTGATCTCGAGACAACCAGACGGGAGCCAAAATAGGGCTTTTCTGACTTTGTAACCCGTTGGAGAGCCAAAGCTTCTATGATGACCACCAGGCCGGTCGACAAGGATCAGATACGGATGATTGTGCGCAATCTCTAACCCAAATTGATTCAAAAGATGATCCTCTTACCCCTTTCCACCTTTGCGGATTTACATGAGATCGAGGTACAGATTGAGGACACCATGAAATAGTGTCTGATTGACCATGAGAGAGAGCAGCCTAAGCGGGTATTTACACATAGTTCGAATGCAGGCACGAGTAGTGCTGCAGCTGCCAGAACTTCCAATGTGGGTATGGTCACCACCACCACAAGAAAAACAGCAACCTCATTCACCGGTGCGTCCGGTACCAACTCACAAATAGCCAGATATCCACCCCGAGGCCAAAGAACTTTTACTCCACTGTACATGCCCCTGTCCAAAGCTCTGGGGGTTTTAATCAAGAAAAGGCATTTGAGCCCTTGGAGCTGCGGTCATTACCAGACAAACTTCCTGCTTCCAATAACCCAGCCAAATACTGTGCCTTTCACCAACAGCATGGTCATGACACGAACCAGTGCTTCAGACTGCGTCATGAGATCCAGGATCTTATTAATAATAAGGTAATTGTGCCACCACAAAAATCAAATGTCACCACCAACCCACTCCCACCACATAACCAAGCTCCACCTAGACACATCAACCTGATCCAAACTGCGGCCATTCCATATGGCCCGAGTATATACATCCCACCCTCCCACTTACCCAAGCTTGAGGTGTTCATCTTGGACAGCACGGACTTGTGCATGTTAAGCACCTCCCAAACCCAACCTGAACCGGTGGTGGTGACTATCGAAGATAGAAATGGGTTAACTTTGGAGGTAGATGGGAATGTTGATTCAGAGCTTGAGGGGTCTGCGAGCTTTGCGTACAACCCAAGTGGTTATATCACATCAACAGATTAGGTTAAACCGGAGGTAGAGTTACCGACTGGGGCAGAGATTAGTATGGCTCGAGAGGATGGACCTAGTCAAGAGTTAGATGACCTAACAGAGCTGGAAGAGGGCAATACAGATCTGTTAGTTCTTCAACGAGCAGGACTCAAGGGATGTAAACTTCAGCTGGTTCGACTTGGATGGGTTGGCAAAAAATACTGGGTGGCTCAATGACGAGCCGGATGTTGTCAAGGTGTCTCAACCAGAACAAGGGCAATCAGAAGGCAGAACATCAGCAATGGCCGAGAATCAAGAGAAATCGCCGGAGAGCACTGGCGTTAAGAATTTTGCTCGGGATTTGGGCAGTTTGAGCACAGTGGACACTGAACAGCAGGCTGCACTGAAACAGCTTGAGCAGGAAAAGATCGAGGATCTTGAGAGGGCTAGGAAGGCCAAAGTCCCTGCGGGGACGGAATGCGCTGCGAGCACAGGAACAATTGCAACGGGACTAGACAGCTGTCTGTCGGTCGCCGACGGTATGTGGTGGGAAGACGACGACTTACGTCTTGCCCACACCGATGAAGATTGGGGGCAGAACTAACCGGATGACACCTGGTGCGTTGAGGAGGTAGACCATATGACTAGAAGTGGGCGGTATTTCAAGCCCCCGCACTTGGACCAGCCGGAGGCGTCCGGAAAGGACAAAGAGGCAGAAAGGCAGAAAGAAAAACTGATCGAGAAGGAGGCTGTATTGAAACAGCTTATAAAAATTCAAGCAGACATCTCCATCTGGGGACTGCTTATGGCCTCAAGAGTTCACAGATAGGCCGTCTTTTCTGCCATGGACAAAGTGAAACTTTCAATTAATACCACACCCGAGCAGTTGGTAGGGTTGGTTTTTCTGGGAGGAGCTTCCCCGACCTTGACCTTAACTGACAAGGAACTGCTGCTTGAGGGCCCAAATCATAACAAACCGCTCTATATCTCTGTCGAGTGTAGAGACAAATGGGTACCGGTGGTCCTTGTTGACATACGATCTGCTATCAATGTGTGTCTGTCGAGAATGGCATATCCTATCGGGTTGAAGCCCGCGGATTTGTGCCCACAGCCTAGGTGATACGGGCCTACGATAACACCAACCGAGAGGTGATGAGGACTGTACAGATTCGGACTCAGGTTGGTCTGAGGCAATGGAACATTGAGTTTCAGGTCTTGGACGTTCCTGTAACCTTCAATCTACTCTTGTGGCGGCTGTGGCTGCACCAGGTGAAGGCTGTCCCTTCCACCCAGCATCAAATGCTGAAGTACCCCCACGGGAAGGGGGTGGCAATCGTTTTTGGAAATTCTTCAATCCATCCGCCGCCAGAGGTTTCTACACCAGTTCTGGAGATTGAGCATGGCGTGGAGGATGTGTTTTTGTCAGGATTTACCCTAGCTGAGGCCCGGGTTGTACAGAATATACTAGCTGTTAATTAGGGGCTATACGTCAGTGCACAATCTGTCTACCTTATGAACAAGCTACAGCACATGCTCGAGATGGGCTTAGGATGAAGTGGCCGAAAAGGCGTTGCAGCATCAGTCGAAGTGCCGCATAACCCACATACCTTTGGTTTAGCTTATCTACCTACCAAGAAGGATTGGGTGCGGAAAGGAAGAGAGATGGCCGGAAGAGCCAGGGCAAAGCAGGCCGAGAAGCATTATGTGTTGATGCACCGACCTATCCAGGGTACCCTGAATAGACGCTTTGTCCGGGAGGGGGAAGACTTCCCGTTCTGCGGCTTCCGGGAGCCATGGCTAAATGCAGAGAGGTGGCACTTGCCAGGGTTCGAGATTTTCTTTGACTTGCAATTGTCTAGGGATGATGTTGCTAAAGAGTAGACAGACCTACCAGCTGAGGCTGAGCAGTGCAAGGAGGAGGATTTCGAGAGCACAGAAATTGAAATGGGGGTAGCGCCGGCTTGTCTCCTTGCAGATCCTCAGATCGTACTGGGGTGCTTGGGGGATAACTTCTCAATCTCCATTATCAAGAATGAAGCAGCTGTGGGCCCATCTTCAAACATTTTGGATGCATCCATCGCATCATGCCTCGTCTGGCAATACAAGGAGGGCTTTTTATCGAGCAGCACCAGGTCAGGTAGTGAGTCAGAATCTGATTCACTGAGTCTGTGGAGTCGGAATCAGGTTCCAACTCGTCTGAGTCTGAGTCCGGTATTCTTAGGGGTGATAACCCGGATGCCATTGTCTTATCTAGGTCGTCTTTTTCTTTTTTCTTTGAGTCTGTTGTAACAGAGGAATCAGGCGGACTCGATGTTATTAATGAGAATGGTATGGCTGTCACTTCCGAGTACTTTTCTGTGCCTTTAATTTATTGCATTAATCAAGACTTTCAAAATTTTGATGAAAACGACGAGGAAGAAATTCCTCCGATTTTACAACGTTTGATTGATCAAGAGCAGGAGAGGTTTGTAAAATCGTTGGTTGATGAAATCACCACAATTAATGTTGGTACTAAGAAGGATCTGCGGCTGGTCCCGATCGGGTCCACGTTGTCTTCAGAGGAGCACAAGCACTTAGTCGCTTTATTAAAAGATTTCAAAGATGTTTTCGTATGGTCCTACGAAGACATGCCTGGAATCGATCTTGAGATTGTACAACACTGGATCCCTCTTGATCTAGAGGCCCGACCTGTTAAGCAGAAGCTCCGAAGGATCCGCCCGAACTGGGCTCTGAAGATCAAAGAAGAGGTCACCAAGAAAATTGATACAGGGTTCCTGTTGGTATCTGAATACCCTACATGGTTGGCCAATATAGTTCCGGTGTTGAAGAAGGACAGCAGAATTCGGGTATGTGTGGACTTCAGGGATTTGAACAAAACTAGTCCGAAGGACGACTTTCCTCTCCCGCATATCGACAAATTAGTGGACTTCACTACTGGGCATGCGTTGCTCTCGTTCATGGATGGGTTTTTAGGCTACAATTAGATTTTGTTGGCACTCGAAGACAGGGAGAAGACTGCTTTCACCACCCCATTGGGAACCTATTGTTATAGGGTGATGCCGTTTGGGTTGAAGAATGCTGGGGCTACGTATCAACGGGCTGCGACCACAATCTTGTACGATATGATCCATAAAGAGGTTGAGGTGTACGTGGACGACATGATTGTCAAGTCCAAGGAAAGAAGGGGCCACTACACTGCCTTGCAGAAATTCTTCCAACGGATCAGAGAGTATCGGTTCCGGCTGAATCCTCAAAAATGTACTTCCGGTGTTACAGTATGGAAAATGCTGGGGTTCTTGATCAGACAGAGAGGTGCCGAGGTCGATCCTTCCAAAATCAAGGTCATCTTAGAAATGCCACCACCAAGGACTGAAAAGGAGGTGCGAGGCTTTCTAGGTAAAGTGCAATTCATAAGACGGTTTATTGTAAAATTAACCTTGACTTGTGAACCACTCTTTGGTCTCCTGAAGAAATGAAAGAAGTTCCAATGGGACGACCGATGCGAAGTTGCTTTTGAGCAGATCAAACAATATTTACAAAACCCACCTGTGTTGTCACCGCCTGAGCCAGGAAAACCATTGATTCTTTACCTATCAGTGACTGAAACGACAATGGGCTGCATGCTTGCACAGGAGTCTGAGGACAAAGTGGAGAAAGCTATCTACTACCTGAGCAAGAAAATGCTGGATTACGAGACCCGCTGCACTCCGCTAGAGAAGGCTTGTCTGGCCTTGGTATGGGCTACCAAGGAGCTGAGGCACTACCTGCTAGCTCACTCTGTAATACTGGTTTCGAGATTAGATC